ACATTAAATTACTACATTATTTATATTATTCATGTTCTAAAAATAAAGATAAAAATTTGTTACTTTAATGTGTAATTTTTATAATTCTTGAAAGTACATAAAATTGTTTTATTATATTTTATAATTTAAAAAATTTTTTTATAGATTCAATAAAAATATTAAACATCCGGATTAGGACCTTCAAACTTTTAACAAACTTTTAAGAGACACACTTACTTATTTAAATAAAATCGCGCAACCATCTGTAATGAAAATCACAAGCAGTGAGACTGATTCATTCATTGAAGAGAATTTGTTAAATGATAATGATGAGCGTGCGATAAATGATGTCATGTTCAAAATAAAAATTAGGGAAGATAAAGATAACGGATTCTCGAGTGACGTTGATTCTTCTCTCGACAATTCTGACGAATGGAATAATTTATTGGATAGTCTCATCAACGAGCGCAAAGCATTCGTAACAAAATGTAGACAAGAATTCAACAACAACAAATTACCAGAATACTTCGATCGATGGACAATTAAACAGCAGTACGATCACCTAATAAGTAATATCAGCAAATACTTCCCAAATATACCCGAATCTTTGAGGTCCATATTGCCGGCAATCTTCGAAAATGGAGATTTCAGTGAACAAAGAGGAAATACGAAACCAGATTGGTTAATAATGGATAAATTTTATCGTGGACAGCACTTTGCTGAACGTCATTTCAGCGCGATTTTTATGAGTCAAGTTATGGGTCTAATTCAGATATTTAGTTTCACTGACGGAATGAGAACGCTGATCTTCAGTCAAGAGTCAAACACTCCATACAACGCTTTTGTGCGATACCTCAGGACGGCCAACAGCTTCAGAAACTGGTACACGAGTGATCCTTGGTGCCAAGGTACGCCAGCTTATCGCGATATCCAGAGAGTGCGAAGATTACACAGTGCCATGAGATCGAAATTGTGCAAGAAAAGCTTTGAGGAGATTGATCGAGACAGTAAGATTCAAAATGTATGGTGTCCTATTTTGGGAAAAATCACGAAAGACTTCGCAAATACGTGCCCGATGGCGAAGAGCCAGCAATGTCCTTATACGATGGTGAGAACGAAAAGTCTGAACCAAGGTGACATGGCGGGCACGTTGTTCAGTTGCATGGGTTTGGCAGTGCTTTATCCGGAGCAGTTCGGAATATATGCTAGCGACGAAGATCTGGAGGCTTTTTGCCATCTCTGGCGTAGTTTGGGCTACCTGCTGGGCATACAAGATCAGTATAACTTCTGTCGCGGTAATTTACAGGAAATACGCCAACGGAGTAAAGATTTTATTGAGTACTGGGTAAAACCGAATTTCCGCGAGGTGGGACCAGAGTGGGAGCACATGGTCATGTGTGTTTTTGAAGGCTTAGTTTATATAGATCTTCCATCCAACTACAAAGTGTTTATACTTTATCTTTGTGACATACTTGAACTCAATATGCCTCGCCTGTACAGTTCTTTCAGTCTATTGGAGAAAATATTTTATGCGCTGCAGAAATTTATGTTCTCTTACATGATGAAACTACCTGGTGTCAATTTTATCATAAATAAGATGACAAACGCATATATAAATCGGGCAGCTACCTTTAAAAGCATCAAACATGCCAAACTTAAGAAAAAGTCATCTAAAATATTCGAAGAGTTTATACCGCTTAAATTCGACAATAGAACCTTGTAATTAATTTAATTTCTTTGACGTTTCATAACTTTATGTAACAAATTCTGATAATCGGATAAATTATGATAAAGTTTAAAGAAGCTGAAAAAGAAATAGATTTATAACTCCAAAAATTAAAATAATGTTATACATAAGGGACTCTCAAAATTAAAAAGTAAAGAAAATATATCGGGCAAATTAGAATCACGCACGATATAATTGGAACGCAAATTAATTATTTAATTAATTATTTAATATATTCTTCTTGTCTCAGTCTATGAACCAAATGTTTCAGAACATTGTGACTTGTGGGCATTGTAACTATTGTACATTCAACTTTACGTTGGTTATTTTTTATTTTATGACGATTGTTAAAATTTTTTATTGTGTCTTTGGTCTAAATTTTTTTATTATTATATATAATTATTTTCATTTATTATTTTCATCAAAATGATTATCCATGATTATTTTGACTCTTTTGTCTCCTTTTGGATTTAAGACGGAAAGTCAGACGTAAAACTTTCCTAGTATGAGCAATACGTTCATTACTTTCCAATCAGCTTGAGAGAAATAATTATACTGATTTGTTCACTGAAGACTTAAAATGAAGCTGAAACGATTAACTCATATACTGATTAAAAGAATATATTAAATCAAATTAATTATTAAAGTAAAATTATTAGCGCGTATATTTTAATTATAAAGCGATAAGTATGTATTATTCGAAAACAATTAGAATATATTTACCAACGTAGTTAACTACGTACTGAAATGCATATGCTAAAAATATAACTTTATTGTCAAGTGGCATGCAGTTAACTATTTGCTATATTCCAACTATTTGCGAATTTATTATATCTTATCGCTTTAAATATATTTGCGCAACTATGGAACAACTATAGAAACTCATACACACATTTTACTTATATTTAAGTTAATAAAAAATTATTTTACTTATTGCTGTAGCTTTTATATAATTTTTTATTTATTTAAATTGTTTATTTAATATTATTTATTTAAATTTATGTAGTTAATAGTGTTTAAAAAGATTTATGATTATTAATTTAAAAGGATATCTAAAAAAGACATCATGCTGTATCATAAAAATTATATTTTGTATAGAAATATTAATGACAGCTAATTACGAAGACAGACTGAGCTTTTAAACATTTTCAAAGTATTTTATTGAACAAAAAAAAATCGGATAAATTGAATCGGATAAGAGATTTTATGCAAATAAGTATTTATTTATATATTGCAAATAAGATATTTATCGATCTGTTTATTTATATAAGTATAAATATTGGGTAATAAAAGATTTTTTATTATTTTAATCAATTTTTTTCTTTATCTTCCTTCACAGCTTTTCAAATAAATTTGACATAAGTGCATTATTACATTGTTCCTATTATATGTACATATATATCTAATTGAGCTCAAATAATAATATTTTATTTGAAATTAAAAATCTTTTATCGGCATCGATCAAGTTCTGCGCGAGCAGAGAGGAATCTCGTCGATCTCAGGTTTTTTCTCTGATATGTACCAAGATGGCTTTAGTACACAATGGAATTGAATGGAACTGTACAGTTCCTCTAACTAAATTTATATTACTAAAGAGAAAATTTGAAAGAAGACATGAGGGTCTTTTTCCTAAACGGATTATTATAAATTATAGTAGCCCTTCTTTGCGGATATTTATATATTTTCTATATTTATATTTTTATTTTGAATTATTTTATTTTAATTATTTTATTTTATTTTAATTATTTTACTTTATTTCGCTAATCATTAAAATACAAATTTTAATACTATTTAATAGTATTAAAAAAGCTGTTCTGTTTTTACCAAATATATTTATAATTTGCAAACCGTTGAATAAAATTGGAATTCTTCTAATTGTAAGCAAACTACATTTAATTTAAAGTTGTAGAAACAATTTAAATAAGAACGAATTAACCTAAGGCTCCACCACTCCCTATTCTAATTTCTAACTCTTTTTTTTGTAAATATACTCATCCATAAAAAAAAAACGAGCTACTAATAAATTTAGTAGTCCGTTTTTGCAGGTGAATATCTTTTAATTTATTTTTTATTTTTATGTTTAATTAATATTTTATTGCATAACCTTTAGTATTATAAAAAACAAATTAAAAAAAAAGAGCTGCGAGCTAGAAATTTTACCTTTATTATCGATAAATAATTTCAAAGTTACTCAATTTTTTATCATATCATGAAAGATGCACGAAAACGATTAAAATTAATTAAATTATTAATTACACAAACTATATATATATTAATTGTGAAAGTAGAAGTCGCATAAATTGCTTATTACTCAAGCGAGAGAAAAATTATACGTTAAACAGAAATTATTGTCCGTAATTATCGCGAAATAATAATAAATATTCTATTTTCCATTACGTTTTGATTCCATATGAATGAACCGTACGAAATATTTATTCCGTAATATATGATTGTCATCTTAATCCTTCTTTGAATAATTAATCGTGCGCAAGAGTTAATAATCATATACTGTGAATATTCATAAAGTACAACGTTATATATTATATTTAACATTCTTCGCGATAACGTTTCAAAAAGGAATGTGAAGAAGAGCGGCACGCGACACAGCTATTTGCTTGTACTGAGTAATGGAATGACTGTGCGTTTACTGCGTAAATATGACGCGCTGTCTGTCCGCCTGCCCGACTGCGTCAAAACAAGGTCATGCATCTTCTTAATCATGATAACCGATCATCTTAACCATCGAAATATTAACGCATATTACAAAATAAGTAAAATAATTTATTCGTTACATTTTTATTATTCTCCAATAAATAGACTTTAATACACGGTTTTTGCTGTATTTCTTGGATTACGCACACAAGATAGATATATATATAATTTAGATATATATAATTTAAATGTGTTTTATCTATATCTTAGAAATTCAAATTGTGTTACAATAAACGATTATTAGTTTGTAATACTTTTTGTATACGAAATCCGCGCAATACTTTTAACAAAAGATTAACATAGTGTGACTTGTTAACATTTTTGAATCATTTAATTCTGTCTTATTTCGCATTTTTATTCTGAAAAAAGTAATAGACACATTTAAATTATATATATATATCTAAATGTATATAAATGCTATTTATTCTATTCTAGTCGAAATTATATGATATAATGTTATGATTAAAAAAAAATATTTGCATTTATTTTTATTTAAAAAAAAATAAAATTTATTATTAATCCTTAATTGTAAATCAAAGAGAGCAATAAAAATTGACATATAAGATTGGTTGGAAAAACACTTTATGTGAATAATTTTGTAAAAAAAGCTATTTACGTATTGCCTTTTACGTTCAGCACATTAGTTGATATGAAATTAGTTGATATTTAAAATTAGAAAATAAATGTCGAATATGCTTTCCGTTATACTATGACGTAATTATGTGTGATATCACATTAAATGATTCCCGCTAAAACTAAACTGCTGAGTTTTGAGAAAATCGATATAAGAAATTATCAATAAGAAATTATTTCATTAATTCCGCGACGAAATACTAATTGTATTTTACTTGTTTCACGTAGAATGTAAAGTTAACAATATACAAGGCTCGGTCATATTTAAGAAATAAAGTTATTTAAAATATATATTTTTAGTAAAAAGGATAGAAGAGTTATATAGAATTTATTATTTTAAATAAATTTTCGATACACACAACACACACGCACGCACGCACGCACGCACACACACACACACACACACACACACACACACACACACACACACACACACACACTTATTTTATATATATTTTTTAATTAAGTTATATCAGTCAGTTGTATTTAAAACAATTTTATTTAAAGTATGCATTTTAAAAATATAAAGTAGTTATTTAGTATTTATTATTTTAAAATATTTTTCTGACTTATTTCTTATTTAATATTTTAAATAAGTGTTTGAAATATATTTAAAGTACGACGTTTCGTATTATTTGTTGTAAATTTCGTAAATACGTCTCCAAAAGAAATTTGAAAGAGAATGGCACGCGGCACAGATACCTGCCTGCACGAATCTCGGTAAGGGAATAACTGCGTGGTAACTTCGCATAAACGTGACGTACCCACCCGCCCCTCCCCGCCAAACAATCATCGAGGATCCGCGACGTTTAACTATCGAAATATTAACGCATAAATTACAAAATAAGTAAAATAATCTATTCGTTACAATTTTATTACTCTCTGATGAATAGGCTTTATTGCACGGCTTTTGCTTTACTTCTTACATTTGTTACACAATTCATCTATATATTTCAAATTGTGTTAAAATAAGCAATTATATTAGTTTGTAATAACTTTTTATTATCGACGGACGAAATCCGCGCAATGTACGCAATACTTTTATTAAAAGATTTATTGTGTGTGCTTTTTATTATTGTGTGGCTTTTTATTATTTTTAAATCATTTAATTCTGTCATTTATATCTTATTCTGTATTTTTAATAAAGAAAAGTGATAGGTAAATTATATTTAAATTATATATCTTTAAATTAATCTCACATTATTCTATTTAGTTCAAATTGTTACATAACTTTAAAAAAATTTACATTTATCTTTATTTAAAGAGAGAGAAAAAGAAAGGATGTATAACTTATTATTAAGCTTTATTTAATTGTGAATCATCAAAGAGAGCAATAAAAATTGTGATATAATATTGAAATGTCAAAACTCGTCTTTACGTGAGCAATTATATAAAAAAGTCACTTTTACCTTTTATTTTTTGTCAGAGTTCGCATTATTTTATAAAATTGTTGGTATCACGGTGGTATTGTTATTGTACGAAACTTCCAAGCGTCACATGAAAAAGATCGAGATGACCACTTTCAAGTTTTTTTCTAGTTGAGAACTTTTTTCTGCAAAATGCCTTCGCGCATTACTGCCCTCTGAAGAAGTAGAAGCAAACTACACAACAATATTCATTTTTTTGCTCCTGATGGAAATAAATTGCTGAAA